GGGATGAGTTGATTGTATAACTTGATTCAAGGGATGAGTTGATTGTATAACTTGATTCAAGGGATGAGTTGATTGTATAACTTGATTCAAAGGATGAGTTGATTGTATAACGTGATTCAAATGATGAGTTGATTGTACAACTTGATTCAAAGGATGAGTTGATTGTATAACTTGATTCAAGGGATGAGTTGATTGTACAACTTGATTCAAAGGATGAGTTGATTGTACAACTTGATTCAAAGGATGAGTTGCTTGTACAACTTGATTCAAGGGATGAGTTGATTGTATAACTTGATTCAAAGGATGAGTTGATTGTATAACTTGATTCAAATGACGAGTTGATTGTACAACTTGATTCAAATGACGAGTTGATTGTACAACTTGATTCAAAGGATGAGTTGATTGTATAACTTGATTCAAAGGATGAGTTGATTGTATAACTTGATTCAAAGGATGAGTTGATTGTATAACTTGATTCAAAGGATGAGTTGATTGTCCAACTTGATTCAAAGGATGTGTTGATTGTATAACTTGATTCAAAAGATGAGTTGCTTGTATAACTTGATTCAAAGGATGCGCTCAAATATTACTACAAAACTGAATTATATAAACATCGATAAAACATAAGTTTATTATAAAACGCTTTAGGATTTCTACTGGAAAACAAAGCCGCTTCTGAAAGTTAGGATTTTTATATCAGAGTTAGCCACATTTTAACTACATCAATTTGTTTGCTGCTAAGTGATAAGCTACACAACAGACTATCTGTGCTCTGCTTTTAATATTAGATCAGTATAATTATCTACTTAAGTGAACTGTAAAAATGAGTATAAGTGAATACTGTCTTGGTTATTCGTACACGCAAGCAAAATTTAACTGAATGTTGAAGTTAAGCACAAAGCTACAAAATGGGCTATCTGTACTCTGCCCACTACGGGTATCGTACTACATACCGCTGTGCCACTGGGGGGCATAAAAAATAAAAGGTAATTTTATAATTTTAATTCATATTGCTATAGTATGTTGTGCTTGCATGAAAACCATTAATAAGAATATTTAACCGTAAATTTATGTTGTTGCCATCTTAATTATATTATTTTTACGATTTTCTTCTCTCTCCTTTTTTTTTGGGGGGGGGGGTCCTAGTGGATATTTATAAAAGTAAAAGTTAACACACACATTACTTTTTTTTACATGAAGACTATTGCAAGTTATACGACACACTGCGGTAAAAAAAATAATTAAACTGGTCAAACTAATAGAAGAATTATCTTTCATGATTACTTGATACTTAGATGAACACGGAGAAAAGTGGTTAGTGACAAAATTGAATATAGATGAAAGGAACTATTTATTTTTTCCATGCTATGTAAACAATTGTGATACACCCATTATTAATCTGATATAAAACTGCTTTTTAACTTTATCCGCTAGGGTGCAGATCTTAACCGCTTAAAATACCCGACGACTAAAACGTTGGTTTTATTAAAAACTCGGCAGGTTAGCTTTGAATTATTTTAATTATTCATGAATTACATAAATTAACACTCATTACATAATATTTTCATTTTCATGAACTGTTAATAATAATAACAACCCAAATGAATACCAAAAACTTTTATTGAACTTATATATGGTTGTTTGTTTGTTTTTAATTATGCACAGAGCTACACGAGGGCTATCTGTGCTCTGCCCACCACGGGTATCGAAACCCGGTTTCTAGCCTTGTAAATCCGCAGACATACCGCTGTGCTACTGGGGGGGGCTATACATGGCTGTTTCCCAGTGACTAGTTATATTGTTAAAGTGTCTAAGTCTAAGCTGTAACTTGTTAATTACTTGTTTTAGTGCAAACCCACACGAGGGGGCTATCTGTGCTTTGTTCACCACGGGAAAACGAGCCCCAGATTTTAGTGTTTTAAATATAAAAACTTACAGTTCACCCATTGTTACTAGCCAAGCACTATATTCAAGGCTTATTTTATTATTTATTACTTTAGCAAGACATTAGAAATATTTTGAACACCGCTTGTTATACTGTTTGGGTTAAATTTAATAGAATATTAATATTTTAATTGATATTTTCTCAATAAATACATTATAATAAAAGTTTCAACACACACGCACACTTTGATTACATTTCTAATATTCTTGCTTCCTATTGAAATAAGATGGCGGTAAAAAAATTGTCAAAACTAGCTTTTCCACTAACTGAGGCTTTCAAATATTGTTAATGACATCATTTCTTATTTTGATATTAAAGTAACTATAATAAATATAACATATATAGTCAACTTTCAGTTCTATTTTTATGAAGCCTTCTAATATTAAATTCGGACTTGCTGAGTTATTTATTACATATACAAATACTTTTCGTCACTCAGTGGTAAGTCTGTAGAGTTACGACGCTCAAAACCGAATTTCGATACCCGTAACGGGCATAAAACAGATAGCCCACTGTGTAGCTTTGCGTCTAACTACAACCAAATAAATTTCAATTTTGGGAATATTTATAAGTTACTAAATTGGTTTAATTCATTATTTTGCCATAAATAGCAATTTTTATATTTATATATTACTTATTTTCGTCTTCAGGTATAAACAATTGCTTATATATATATATATATATAGCAAACAGCAAATTCTTTGACAATTCGATTAAAATATTCAAGGAATCAAATCTTTAGCTTACGGATTACGAAAAGTTTTAAACAACTAAAATTAATATCAAAAACTGAAAAAATTAAAACCAGAAAAATTAAGGACAAAGATATGCCTGGTCTTAGAAATGAGACACGTAGGTTTTGTTTTTTATAAACTGTTTTTAAAGATTGGAAAAAAAACGTTTAGGTTTTCTTTTGGTGTCGCTCAAATGCAACGATCATTTTATCCGAAACTGCTTTCGGTTCATTCATTTCATGGTGATGAAGGCAGAAGAAACTGGTGACCATCATAGACAAACGTGGCATTGAGATCATTAAGCTCTTCCACGTGACAATTTGATGTATTCAGGCTTCTGTCCCTACCTTTAGATTCCCGCCGTTCTGGGAGAAGGAACAAGACTGACAGTGCCATCGCTGCGTGCCAGGCGCTGTGGACGTACTTGTAGTTTTCGTCAGTTTGAAGAAAGGCAAAAATGACTAAACCTACAGCAGCATTGATTACTCCTGGTAATAAACAAAGCAGCCATGTTCTTTTCCTGGGGTAACAGGCTCGCTGATAACGACAGTGACTAATCTGTAAAATATAAACAGGATATTAGTTTCTAAAAGTTACTTCCTTTTTAGGGAATACAATTTAAATATTTCGAATTAAACAATTGATTATGTCACCTAGAAATGACACTGAAACGGCATTGATCAAAGGATACAACACAGTTTTTATTTTTCTCACACAAATATCCAAAAATATAAAAATGCAACAAACGTTGTATTTATAAATATTTCATAAGTCTTGCCCCCCAGTGGCACCGTGGTATGTCTGCGGACTTACAACGCTAAAAACCGGGTTTCGATACCCGTGGTGGGCAGAGCACAGCCAGCCCATTGTGTAGCTTTGGGCTTAACTTCAAACAAACAAAAATCATACGTTTGGTTTGTTTTAGAACAAAGCCACCCTGCTATGTGCACCGTGGGGAATAGAACCCCGGATTTTAGCGTTGTAAGTTCGTAAACTTACCATTTTCCCATCGTGGATACATTTCTTAAGTTTAAATAATTGATGGAATAATTGGTAATTTCCTGTTACCCATGATTTCCAGTGGTGGGTAATATTCAACAATGTGAGAGGAAAGTTATTTTAAAGAAGGTTTTACATAGAATTACTGGCTGAAACGTGATTTCTAGAGAGGTACTGAGGTAAATATGTTTTTCGTTATTGCTATTTCATATATATAGCAACATCTAAACTATACTATGAAATTCAACTTGATTTTGCCAAAAGGGAGTTCTAAGAAAATTTTAATTAAAATATTTGCAGCGAGCCCTTACCCATGATATGGTTAGAATGATAAGTCCTACACCGGATGGAACTAGAAACACCCACAAGCCTGTTCTGTCGTACTCTACGCCCAGGGCAATCCCAACAGCTCCGGCCATGTGCGTTAAGCTTTGAAGCGTCGCTGGCAGATCGGCCATTACTATCAGGGTCACCCAGAAGGCCAATATGGCGGAGTAGAAATCACAAAATTGAAGCACGCTTAGTCTCATGATACAAAAAGTGTACATCTCAGCATCACAGGCGTGGTAAAACTGTAAAAATTGTAAAAAAATCCGTGACAAAACTATCTTTTTACCTTATCTTCTTTTGTCAGAAGATAATAAACGTAATCATAGGCAGGATGTTTCGGTCCAACATTAAAAAAAAACATTTTAATATATAAAGTGGCACGATTTAATAGAAAAATATGATAAGCTAAAGTTATTTGTAAATCCTGTTCAGATGGTTTATTAAATACAAGTGATTTAATAGAAAAGTATAATAAACTAAAGTTATTTGTAAATCCTGTTCAGATGGTTTATTAAATACAAGTGATTTAATAGAAAAGTATAATAAACTAAAGTTATTTGTAAATCCTGTTCAGATGGTCTATTAAATACAAGTGATTTAATAGAAAAGTATAATAAACTAAAGTTATTTGTAAACCCTGTTCAGGTGTTTTCTATTTTAAGATACTCACAGTGGAGAAGAACATCGTCACAAAATAAATGAGTGCTTCTGTGTAATAGTGGCGATAGACTGAGAGAACAATGGCTGGAATGAAAAAAATGTTACTCAGCGTGAGGAGCAATACACCTAGCAGCAACTGGAAGTCAGAAATAGCATTGGTTTCATCTGTGCAGCCCCAACCTCGCCAACCTGAAGAAAAAACGACCCATTCAGTAACAAACAAAGCACTGTAAAAGTACAAGTAAGGATTATTTACTTAGAAATTGTGTTTTTAATAACACAGTACAGAACAATATATCACCAGGATACAGGGCATTGCAGTAACTGACGATTGGAATTTCAACTAGACCACTAGTGAAAGTGAAGTTAGACTGTATAAGTATAGCCCTAATGGGCAATTTCTAATGTGGGTTTAACAGCGTGTTTTGTAATAACTGAGATAGAGGAGAATAATTTGTCTTGTCAAAGGGCGTTCTAAAGTAATTGGATCTGCCTGTGTGGACTTTCACGAAAAGGAGACAATTATTTAAAGGTCTGGGTTCAACTGTGGTAACCCAAGGGATAACGTAAGTGAATTATTCACTGATAATATTGTGATAAGAGTAGATAAAAATAATTAATTTTGTCAATTGGATTCTAAAGTAATTGGATCCGCCTGTGTGGACTTTCACGAAAAGGAGACAATTATTTAAAGCTCTGGGTACAACTGTGGTAACCAACAGTTGTAGTGGTGATTTATAAAAAAATAAGTAAGTTAGTGAAAGTAAGACAAAGTTAGTGAGAGATATAAACAAATGGATCTAGATTGTGTTTGGAAGTTTAGCCATAAAGAGTGTATAGTGGCAACTTTTAAAATGTAATAATCGCAGTTTGTATTGCAATAACAGAGTAGAGAAGAATAATTCGTCCTCTCAATTGTGTTCTAACGTAACTGAACCAGCCTGCGTAGACTTTTGACGTAAAATATAATCATCTAATACTCTGCATACAACTGTGGTAACCCACGTGGTAACATAAGTGAATTTATCACTGACTGTTTGTGATAACAGAGTAGAAAATGATAATTCATCTTGACAACTGGGTTCTAAAGTAACTGAATCAGTCAAATATTTAAAGCTTGGGATACAACTCTGCTGATTAACTGTGTAACCAGCATTTGTATATACGTTTGACTTGTTTAGAATATATTATTTTAAAACAGGTGTATTATGTGCTGTCCGTTTATTGTTGAAATGTATCGCCAACAAGTCACAGACACCTATTGTAAAGAATCATGGCCACTATAAAACCTGACAGTGGTAAGTGTATAACATGGTCAAGTGTGAAAATAGGTGTGAGGGACCGGCAGATATACTAATATGTGAACAGTTCATTATCACACGTATGCTCCACTGACATGTCACTGTTCTTAAAGGAGATAGCACCAAATTACGTGGACGAAATGATCAAGCTAAGAGAACAGTATATGGAAGCTCATGGAAAGAGTATAACTAGCAAGTCAAAGAATAACTAGTTAAATTTGAAACCAGGGTTAGCTGATCAGAAGCAGGATGCCATCAAATGTAACAAGAACTCAATGGGCAAAAGGGAGAAGAGATGTTACATTTGTTATAAAATGGGGCACACTGCGAGAAAGGGCAAGTATGTCAGTTATCAACAAGCAAAAGCAGAAATATCAACGTAAAGCAGCTGGAGCTACCTACAAAGATGGTGCTGGCAAGACAAAAGAAAAGAGTGACTATCACCATGGATGTTGCTGCCAGAAGAAACAGAAGAGAAACAATATGTCAGATTCACTGTAAGAACAAAGTGCTATCTCCATTATTAAACTGTGCATGACTGATGGTCAGCTCAAGTTAGCAAATGGATCAACATTGCCAGTGATGATTGGAACATGTGACAAACACTGAGAGATGCCAGCAACTCACAACATGCCAGTAGGTAAAGGCTATGTCAGGGAAAAGAAAGTGAAAGTCCTACAAGGTACTGGGTGTAGCAGTGAAAACCAGTCTATTATCTGATGATGAGATAGTGGGCAAGGTACGCTTGTGTGTGCTGATTGATGGGACAGGGAGAAATTTTCCCATGGCAAGAATAAAGGTGGACACTCCATACTACGTGGGAGACCTTGAAGCCATGTGTATGAAAGCACCCGTCTACGACTTGGTGATTAGAAATATACCAGGTAGTAGAAGTTTGGAGGAATCAGAAAGGTGGGAGACTGCAGTCACCACATAAGTTCAAGAATAGAAAAGCAAGCACGTCATCAAGCTCTGCAAGTCTCGAAAGGTGATATTCCGAATGTAGGTCTACAGGAACTGCAGGAAGCACAAAAGAAAGACCCTTCACAGCAGAAACTTTGGAAAGAGAACGTGGAGAACAAGACAAAGGGGAATAAGACTTACACAATAGAGGACCGGAAAGGAGTATTGTACTAAATCTATCAAAACAGTTCTACTGGGGAAGCTAAACACATCAATGGCAGCCAGAAGCACTTCTATGACAAGAAGGCCAAGGATCAACATTTCAAGATTAAACAGAAGGTTTTGGTTCTGCTATTTACAAACAACAACAAACTCACCCTGCAGTGGAAAGGAGGTGCTAGAAATTATCAACAGAATGGACTATAAGTGAAAGAGGATGGGAAGGCCAAGATCTACCATGCCAATCTGTTAAAGAGGTACTTCAAGAGGGAAGAAGACATAACTGGTGCAGCTAGAGGTACAGATGGACGTTGCAGGTGTGGCTGTCATAGATGGAGAACCAAAAATTGGTAACTTTGTCACAGAAGATGAATACCTACTATGCCTAAGACCAATTGGTGGAGATGAGATATACAAGGACGTCAACATAAGTGAAGAACTGACTGGTAAGTAGAAGAAAGACCTACAAAAGCTAATTTTCTACTATGCAGATGTCTTCACAGATAGATCAGGCAAGATATATCTTGTGCAACACCTGCGAGAGCACAACCAATAACACAGTCAAGGTGAACCCCTAACAGATGCCCTAAGTGATGAGAGACCAACAAGGGAACTGCAAATGTTGATGCAGACTATATGAAGAGACTTTGCGTACGAACTGAGAACAGTCTTTGTATATAGTGTAAAAATATTATAAGTATTTTCCTTGAAGAGAGGCTTATTGTTAGATATACAGGACTGTTTCATTTAAATTTAACACAAGAGTTAGGATTTAGATAAATATAAAGCACGAGTGTTAAATTTAGTATTTCTAAAAGCGATGATTTATTGCATGTTTGCTTAACTAAATGTTTACGAATCATTTGTTGCATAGTTCAATTGTTGTGAATTGACGTCACGTTACTCAAACCTTTATAATTTCTCTCATTGCTATAAGGGAGTATTGTTACATTATATTGCCTCATAGTTTGGAGAAAGTTCTAGGCCTCAGTGTGAGTTTAGCCATAGAGGGTAATTTATAAAGTGATTTTAACAGCTTGTATTGTAATAACAGATATAGGGAAGAATAATTTATCTTGTCAAAGGGTGTTCTAAAGTAATTGAATCCGCCTGTGTGGACTTTCACGAAAAGGAAACAGCTATTTAAACCTCTGGTTACAACTGTGATAACCAACGGTTATAGTGGTGATTTGTAAAAGTAAGTAACTTTGTGAAAGTGAAAGTAAGTTGATGAGAGATATAAAGAAATAGATCTAGATTGTGTTTGTAAATTTAGCCATAAAGAACGTATAATGGCAACTTTTAAAGTGTAATAATCGCAGATTATTTTGTAATAACAGAGTAGAGAAGAATAGTTCTTGTCAGTTGGGTGGACTCTTGAAGTAAAATAGAATTATTTAAAGCTCTGGATATAACTGTGGTAAACCTGGGGATAACGTAGAAGAATTGATCACTGATTATATTGTGATAACAGAGTAGAGCAAAATAATTCGTCTTGTCATTTGGGTTCTAAAGTAACTGAACCAGCCTGTGTGGACTCTTGACATAAAAGATAATTAATTTAAGCTCGAGATACGAAGCTAGTGATTAATTGTTTAATGAACATTTGTATATACATTTCACTTGTTTTGAATATATTATTTTACAACAAGTGGATTGTGTGCTGTCCATTTATTGTTGGAATGTATTCCTAACAATTCACTGATACCTACCACGAAGAATTGCGGCTCTATTGTACCTGACAAACAAACAATAAACAAAAATGGTATGCTAGAATATTTATGCTATAGAAAACATTCCAAGTTAACTGCTTACCCGAAGAACACACACAAGTACTGAAGATAAACCCTCCACTGAAGTACCTGTAACACTTTCCGTGATCTCCACAGCCATCTTGAATACACGATGATGACTTTATGTTTAAGTTGATATGTGTTGTGTTAGAGTAACACCGAACATCCACTACTTCACTAACATCAAAAAGAAAATAAAAATTCTGTAATTACCAGACCCTTATACTCTGAAGACCATTTTGAAGGCAGAAACTAACTGGAGGGGGTCTGGTATTTTAACCTTATATTCTACAAATGGGATTTAGGAGTCAAAAACATTTTTAAAAATCATAGAACAATGATACATTCAAACCTTAACTTTTTCTCCTACTTAACTTTGAAAATTTGGTTAACAGAAAACTGTAACATGCCAAATATTAAAGTATTATGGATCCCCCAGGAATTTCACAATAATGCTAATAGAACACACAGGCAAAAACTATTTTTAAAAAAAGCAGACTTCTTCTTAAAACAACACCCAAAACCTTTTATGTCAGTAGCTAAGGCTGCTAAAATATTAACAATAGCAAAAAAAAGCTGATATTCCGATTATATAATTCGAAATTCATCCATTTGTTCTTCACATTATTAATATTATTCTTGTTTAACAAGCCTACAGAAAAAACGGCTATGAATATTTTATTCAAACCTACTAAAAATTACCCGCAAAGATTGTAGGGCTATTTTTCATACTGATTATTGAAAGAGAAAAATATTTTATCAGTTTTTTTTCGCTACTAACCAAATTTCTCTTCAAAGCCATTCAAGCACCGAAGCATAAGTATACTGTGCCAAAATCTATGCATAGCTACTAAACAAACTCCTGCAAAGGTTGTAGGTCTATTTTTATACTGATTATTGAAAGAGAAAAATATTTTATCAGTTTTTTTTCCTACTAACCAAATTTCTCTTCAAAGCCATTCAAGCACCGAAGCATAAGTATACTGCGCCAAAATCTATGCATAGCTACTAAACAAACTCCTGCAAAGGTTGTAGGGCTATTTTTAAGTTGATTCTTGAAAGTCGAGTTTTCCACCCTTAAAAATGTTCTAAGTTTTCTTCACTATTAACATAAGCTCTTTGAAGTCATTCAAGCATCGTAGAAATGTAAAAGTCATTTTAGCACCGTTATACTAGACGGAAATGCTCCATTAAAATTGATAAGTACTTTAGACATGGATTCAAAATAGGGATTTGTAATCTTGAGAAAA